TAATATACGTTTTGCAATTCATAAATGTCAAGATACTCATGGTTGTCGATTTTTGATTCAGATAGTCGACACACAACATAAAGTCATTTATTTTCATTTATTACCGGCGAAGTGAGTGACATAAATTCCCAAATCTCAAACAACTTGCTTTGTGTGACTTGTTGTATTGATTTTAAACTTAAATAAATAATATTTGTTATTATTTTAAATTCTATACGACAAAACTAGAACTTACTTCACTTAATATGTTTTATTCTCCAAAAGTATATTATTTATCATAAATATTTTTAAAAATAATAAAATACCTTTTCGTGATTTTCAACACAGTAAATGTAATATTTTCAAATGTATAAATCACTCGTTTTTCTTTGGATTTTGTTGTATTCAAATGTTGAATTATTTTCCAAAGTTTTACAAATTAAGGAAAAATAATAAATTTATTTTCTCTTAAAATAAAAACTGTTTTGATTTGTACATAACAGAAACAACAATACTCATTTATAAACAAAAACGTTTTTAACTTTATACAAACAGGGGGATAAAAACGGCTTCCGTTTTTTAATCGCATCCACTTGAATTTAACAATTTAAACACTTTTAATATTATATTATAATAGTGTTTATCATGAAAGCTGAATATTTACCGTGGAGACTTTTATTGTCCAAGGTGATATTTTGTATCATACTTTGAATTATAATTTTATAATTTATATCTATAAGAAAGATAAGTTGTGGTTAAAAAACGGAAGCCGTTTTTGATCTTATTGTATTATTTAAATTGATTTAAATTGTTGTTTTAAAAAAATATTACCCAATTAAAAACTTTATTTAACAGAAATAAATGATATAGTTAAAAGGTTGTTTTTTAATTTATTCAAAACTTTGAGTTGTGAAGAAGTTAAATAAAATTATTTCACTTGTTTAAAACAATTAGAATTAATAATTAAACAATTATTTAAGATAAAACAGATAACAATTATAACAATTTCAATTGGAATAATTCATTTTAATGTTATTTTTTAAAATAATTTTGTTTGAAATATAGTAAAAATAACTATAATATATATAATAATTGTTTCAAATGCAATCAACAATGTTTTCTTTAGGTATTGGTTAACATAATAAAAATAATTTCACACAACCTTTGTTCAACTGTCAATTTTACATTTGTTGTTGTTTAACTTATAAATTGATACGTTTTTAGATAACGTATAAATTTGCATAAACTCAAAAACGTCTTAGTTTATTAACAACAAAATTTTAAAACATTACAACAAAAGGGAAAACGGGAAATGACTCATATATAAGTACTCTGATGCCTTTTATTCAACGTTATTTAAAACACCGTCTCATAACCACTTGTCTTCTAATAACAATAATAATTACTTTGTATTTATTATCAAAACTAGTTGTTGTAAAGACAGCACTACCAAATTATCATACACAAAAGTATCAATTACAAATAAAAACAATATAATCAATACTCAAAAAGAACAACTATTGGATTAGTAACTCTAAAAGACTAAATATCAAAAAAATAATATCAACAATGAAAAAATGTTTGATTTTAAATCATAATTTTAAATTTATTGCTGAAAAGTCATGTTTTTTTCTAAAAAAAAAACTTTTCAAAAAAATTGAAAAAACAAAAACACGACAATCAATTTAAAAATAAAATGGTCCCAGCTGGGATCGAACCCGCGACCCTCGCATTTCTCTATTCTATAAGTACGATGCACTACCGACTGTGCTACGGGGCCTTCTATTTAAAGTATTAATTCTATTTTTTATTGGTAGTATACATGTTTTATTCAAATAATTTATATCAAATAACTTTTTGGTAATTAAATGGAGTTTTTATTTTAAACACTCGATATGATAATACAAATATAAATATCGTGTTAATTAATTATATTTTTAATCATAAACAATTTCGGCAATCTGTTTTAGAAAAAAAAGGTTGAATAATTGAAGGTGATTATTGTTTTATAAGAGTATTTAAAAATAGATAAATAATAATTTCAAAAACAATCAATTAATTATCAAATAATAAATTTAACACTAATTATTAATAACACATTAATAATAGAATGATTAATTTGGATGTTTTTGAAAGATGTTGATATTAAAATTAACGTAAAATTATTAATGTTTTACTGAAAAACAAGTTTTTTGTTATTTTTGTTATTAAAAACAATGTTTAATTTAATTATTTTAATTATAATAATAATATAACCATCTTGTTTTTAATAAATTATTAGTTTTTAAAATAAAAACAGAAATCGCGTTTAACTCGCCGACGTACCAAATCCCCAACGAACCAATACTGCTAAAAAGATTAGTGTTTTTGTTTTTTTGAAAAAAATTATATTATACAGTGTAGTTCAATTATAGTAAAATGAAAATGGAATAACGAGTTCAAATCGTGAACTAAAAAACAAATAAATTGTGAAAAAAAATGAAAAAAATATAAAATTTATGACAAAAACGTAAAAAATGGCAAAATAATAATATTGGTAAAATGCAATAACATTTATTCCAAAACAAATAAATATGTTTTTATACATAAAACAATAAAAAACAATTGGTTTTAAGTTGAAATAAAATATGAATTGCATTGTGAAACATTAACACAGCAGTGAAAATTATAAAAAACACATAAAATTAATAATACAATAGTCATTTTGAAATAATTAAAAACTTTTCAAATACCAACTATGTAGACTAGTAATTTCATTTTTTTATTGATTATATGAATTACTGAGTTTTCCAACGTCTTTTTTCTGTCTATTATGTATTTTTACTTTCCCCTGACATTAACAAAAAAGTCATTAATTTTTTGTATTGTCTTTATCAAGATAATTGATTAAAAACAAACTCAAAAAATCTGTTACAGCTAAAATTTAAAGTGTCAAATTTTCCTTTTGACAATAATTTTACTTCAGTACATAAAATTTACTATTATATTTCGTGTCATTATCCGAATTTGTGTCATGTCTATGATTTGTTGCCATTTGCTTGTTTATGAATCAGTTACATTGATGAATGTAATAAAACAATTTAAATTATCTATTGAAATAAATATTTGGGATATTTTAACAAAACAAATTATTATATTTTGATTGTCCAAAAAACAAAAATGTCAAAATTCTTTGTTTATATCAATAGAACATTACTTCTGTGATAATTTATATAATGAAAAATACACATTAGAAGTATGAATACAAAACTTTTTTATAAAACTTGTTTTATTGTGTTCAAAACTATTAAATAGTTTAGTGATTAAAGTGACGACACTAAAAACCGCAATTTGATGATAAAAACACGAACATAACCAATTGATTTGGTTTTATAATAAATATATCTTCATAAAAAATGGTAACTTCAATTTGTGATTCAAATTATTTTGAAATGATTATATCTTATTGTAAATGATACTATTTCAGAACACTGCATATTGGTTATTACTAATAATAACAAAAATGCATGCAAGACTATTTGACATACGAAATTAATGTATATTCGTGTTCAAAACACATAGAACTAGTAAATGATGGAAATCAAGTAATTATTCGATAAAAACCAAATCAAACACGTTAATTCGTCTAAAGTGAATGCTTCATGACGAGATAATATAAATTTTATATTTCAAATGATACGGATATTGAAACAATTATTAAAAAAGCACATACATAAATATTTTTTAAATTATATTTTATAATATTTATAAACTATATAATAGAATATGTTATATTATATTTATAGAATTATGTTTGAAAAAAAATAAAATTTCGGGCATATAACTTGATCAAATGAGAGCACCCAAAAAACAAACAGAAAGTGATAAAGTCGAGGTTTTATCATAATGATTAGACTTGTACTATATATTTCAGATAATTGAAAAGAACCATAACTTAAGCACTTTTTAAATTTATTAACATAAAAATTATTAAATGTTGATATAAAGACATTTTATAACAGTGAACCTTTTCAAAGTGATACAGTTTAATCACAAAGAGTTAAATTTATTTTACTACTATACAAATTAATATGGACAGTGTCAATAAACTTTTACGACAAATTGACACAATCATAACGTTCTTGACAAAAGTAATATTAATCAAATCACTGAGATAATGTTCAATTGTTATTTTATTGATATATTTGGTGTATATTTTATTATTTGTTGTATTTAAATATTAATAAACAACATTCTTTTTATTCTCGATAATATTGAATACCTTTTATACAATTCTCTATAATTTGGTTGGTTAATAATCGTTTATTTTACATCGAAAACATTGTTTTATAAATCCATTATCAATGTTAATTGCGTCTTTGGTCAACTTTCAGTTGTTTTAAAAGTGATGTGTGATGGCTTTGTTTTGTTGTTGTGATATATTATGATTTTAAATGTTATTTTTTTCATATTGATACATAAGCATGTTATTCTATCTTAATATCAACACACTTTTTTATTTAATTCAATCAATGAAAGCTAATATAACGCTGTTTTTACTTGTCACTATTGTTATTTGTTAATTTTTGTTAAACATTATTTATCAAGTTCAACTTATCCAATATGCGGCTTTTATTATTTATTTCTGTTTTTATAAACATTTTTTATATTTTTTTGTTGTAATTTTTGTTCTGTTTTGCTTATTTGATTTTTTATATCAGATAAATTTCCACAAAACGAATTTTTGGTAAAAAAAATAAATTAATTTTTTAATGATAATTTTATAATTTTATATCATTTATTTTTATCTATTTTTTCAAGAAAATCACTTAATATTAATTACAAATTATTTAAACAGTTTTGGGACAAATTTTTAAAAAAATGTTAAAAAGAGCAGTATTGGGTTGTCCGCGAGTTAAGGCTTCACATAGGGTTTAATGACCATATTGTATCATTAAATGAAATATTTAATATTTGGACAACTGATCTGAATATCATTATGTGTTAAAACTTAGCTTTATTTCATTTATAATGTTTTAACAATGAAAAAGTTATAAAATTTGTTACTAAAAGGCTATTATTTAACTTTTGTTTTTTATTGTAAAAAATTGTTTTTCAATAAAAATACACTCAAATAAGTGTTTTTATTCAAAATGATAAAAAGTAATTAAAATAAGAGTTTATTAACCAAAAATATCTATATTTTCGGCATTATAAATACAATTAGAATTTATTTAAAACCGAACTCACAATCAAATAACACAAAAATGGTTCGATTCGAAATGGTTTATTTGATGCAAATTTCCTTGTACCTCCCAACAATGTCAGACGTTTTAAATTTCATGCAAATGAGTCACAGCGCTCTTATTGCAATTTCTTCACTTAAAGTGAATCCCCATTTTTCTACAAATACAGACATAGAAAAGTTCTGGGATATAATGACTCCGGACACTGTTAACTGTAATTTTCAGAGTGTTACAAAAGAAGTTTTAAAAAGGGCGATTTACGTCAGGAATTATCCCATCACCGACGACTTTTTGACGTCCGAAAACATGAAATTAGCAGAAAAATTCACGAATTTATGTTTTACTAATACCTTTGGCACACAATCAATTTATACCGAGGAAAATCAACAAGACACTTTTGACTCAATTAAACTGTTTTTCGAGTTACTCACACAAAATCCAACAAGAAAAGTCACTATCCCCTTCGAACTTTTCTGGTTGTTTGTAGATGAGTGTAACACCTCCAACAGCCCACTTCTTCCAAATTTTGAAAGGTGTTATTTTCCTAAAAATGTGTTTCTTTATTTTATAGAGTTGAATGGTGTTCGTATACCTGAAAGGTTCATATTATCACAAGAGAAATTTCAGTTGGTAAATGCCGCTGTGACCAAATTTCAATGCCAAATTGCTATTGACTGGTCAGTGTTAATTGATAGTGATTACGCTTTGCTTACACCACACTGTAAAAATTACTCTGCAGTGATGAACAACAATTCTAATTTGGTGGTGCCTTATTTGAAAGAAAATGAAATTTCCTTTTTCTTTACTTTTCCGCGCAATCAAATGAATTCTTCATGTCAAAAAGTGACTCACATCGACTTCACTAAAATTGAAGAAAAGATTGTATTATGTTATGCACCCCATGTGAAGTTTTTAATTCAACACTTTGAAATCAATTTAATTGCTTTTAAAATCCCACGTTGTGTTGAAGAAATCACAGTAGATGACTCAGAGCGTTGTAATACGCAGACGTGTACGTGTCACATTCCAGAAAATTTATCAATACGAAAATTAAACGTATCAAGGTGTGGTGTATTTTACAACGGAAATATTAAAAATGTCGAAAGGGTTAGTTTAAACAACTTTTCATCACTTAAGAAAGATCGTAATAATGAAATTTCACAAATTAAGTATTGGAAGAAATCAAGTGAATTTCCTTTCATTAATGTGAGAGAACTTGAATTAAAAAATATTCAAAATATTAAAATTGGAGCGCTTGATAACTTGGAAGTGCTGAAAATTGATAAGTGTGACAACGTCTCTTGTTATGTCAATGAAAAGTGTGCAAAATATTTTAGTGTGGAAAACACGTCAAATTCAACTTTTTATATCGACGCTAATAAATCAGACGTGCTGGAATTCAAAAATTGTAAAGCTCTCACTCTTGTAATTTTTAATACAAAATTATCTCATACAAATTTGGCCCTTTTTGTGTGTGATTTGGTAAAAGTTGATATAGAAAATAAAGAGTGCCAATCGTTATGTGTTATTAACTCAAATGATCTCCAAATTACACGCAACTGTACTTTTAAAACGTTAAAAATTGTCAATTCGACTATTGGAGAATATTCAAATTTATTTGCAGAGGAAATTGATTTATCAATTATCCAAATGTATCAGCCAATAGACTTTTCTAAAGCAAAGAAAGTGACTTTGTGTGGGTTGAAATCTTTTTCGTTTAATAACAACTTATTTGATAATTGTGAGGAACTGAAAGTCGTGCATTCTTCTCACTGCCAGTTTTTCTTTGAGAATTCTCACTTGAAAATTTTGACTTTGGACACTTC